CCCTGCCTGCGCGCCTCTCCCGCTCCCCTCCTGGAGCCGACCCCCCGCGCCCACCCCTGCCTGCGCGCCTCTCCCGCTCCTCTCCTGGCGCTGACCCCCCACGCCCACCCCTGCCTGCCATCCTCTGGCTTCCGCTCAGGGGCCGTGTTGAAGGTGGGGCCTTGGACCGTTTCAGGGAGCCCGTCGGTTTTCCTGGGTGTCTCCTATGTATGCAGGAGACTTTGTTAAACTTCTGTTTGCTTTCCTCCTGTTACTCGGTCTTAGGTCAATTTATTTAGTAGAAGAGCGAAGAACCTAGGAGCAAAGAAGGGACAACTCTTCTCCCAACCCCCCCAACTGATCTAAGGCCTTGAGATCCTTTAGTAAAAGATACTTTCAACGTTTTTTATTGATAACATCTGACTAATAACCTTCACTATAGGCATCTGGAAGGCTTAGGTAGCCCTGGCTCTAGGTTTTCCTACTCTGGGGGCTAAGGGCGGGCTGCCCCAAGATGGGCCACTCTGGCATGAAGGTTATTTTGAGCTGAAGGCAACGGAGACCCTGTGGGCTCAACAGAATTTTTTGCCCCTCCCTTAATTACATAGGAGAATCTAAATTGGGAGTCTTTCCAAGAACACTGGTCATTACCAGAGATAAATTTTATCTGAGGGACCCATCCAGTGGCAGGACAAACAGCTAATTAGCAAACATTTGCTTTTTCTTATTGCCCTGTGAATTACATTCCTTCCTTCAAAGTCCCAGACCCTTACCTTTTTCTTAATTCGGGATGACATATATACCTCATTTTGTCTGACTGTCTCTGGAATTTCCCTCTGTGGATGCCCCATGTGTAAGCTGTTAAATTTGATTTTTTTCCTGCTAATCTATCTCATGTTAATTTGATCCTGATCCAGGTAGAAGGACCTTGAAGAGAAGAGGAATTCTTGCTCCCTGGTACTACTTAAAAACAAAAGATTGTTTTATATTGTGTATATTCTTTTCTTGTGTTTCTTAAATATTCATTGTATCACTTACACCATAGTTTTTAGTAAGTGACCAGTTAGCAAAAAAAAACAAAAAAAATGTCTTTATCTGAGTCAGTTTCCTATTCTTTCTTTTAGTAGGTTATAAGAATGGTCAAAAGGAAGGAATAACACAGTATTTGCTATTGGTATGGACACCTCATGATAAAACCCAAGCAGAGACTGGAATTTAATTCAGGTATATGCACAGTTTGGCGCTGTCACGTGTAACAGTATATACCAGCCGGCTGATGGAGTTTCAGGTCCCTTCCAGGGCTGACAGTCCTATCATGTGACAATTCATGTTTAAATAAGTCCCTACAGCAAGTGTGAGCTAATCTTGAAATGCAGACAGGACAGAAACATGAATTTTATTTTTTTTTTTGAAACATGAATTTTAAATAGTAAGTGGCAGGCTAGCTACAAATAACTTGTTCATCCTCCCTCCAAAAAAAAAAAATTATTAAAACATCTGTCAGTGCAGTGAACTGTATTATCAAAAAACCAAGTAGGAACAAAAAGAAAAACCAACTAGGACAAAACAAGGCTCCCGCCCTGATGGGATCCACGTGGTGCTCTGGGTGTACAGAAATAAACATTATATGACATGGCATTATTTGAACATTAAATGACATGGCAATATTTAAGTGACTCTTAAAAGAAAAAAAACTCTTTTAAGTAAAAAACAGGAAGAATCTTTCAAAATAAGATTGAGGATTTATTCCAAGATTAATGTTAGCCCAGATGGTGATGCTACTGGAAACTCCAGAGTAGGATCACCTCAAAATGGAACAGCAAGGATTTAAACTGGGCTGAAGCACATTTAGAGAGGGATGAGGAGACAGAGTGCCGAGCAGGAAGGCGGCCTGCAGGGAGTGCGCAGGTCAGCCTGCTGGGTACAAAGGCTTCAAACCCTGAGGATGGAAAATAATTGCCTGTGTGGACGGCAAGGACTTTACTCCTTATCTGGTGGGAAAGGGAAGCCAAGCATAGACACACCTGTGGTTTGCAGGGTGGGCAGAAGAGTAGGGAGACTCTGTGACTTGGTTGCCTCATCTGTAAAATGGGGATAATAAGCTTGCGGTGAGGTCATCTCAGCCTGGCCCAGAGTAATGCTCAGTAAATGATAGTTCTTCTGTGTCACGGCCTCTTTGAGAAGCTGATAAAAGGTACAAACTTCTCCCCAGAAAAACGTGCACCTGACAGGAAGGAATCGGCAGACATCACACACACCCTGCGCACACTCACCCGGCCAAGCCCATCCCAGAGTCGGAGAACCCCAGCTGAAGGTCCTGAATGACAGCTTGGCAATTTTTATCAAACTGTGAAATTTATGTTTGATTCAAGAGCAACATTTGTAGAAATTTCCCAAAGACGATAAATGCAGGAAAGAAAGAGAACAAAGGGTACCTACAAGGTTATTGATCACAGCTTTGCCAGACAACCAGCTGCTCCTTCCCAGGAAATACCAGGCCAGCCATAAAGGTAATAATGCTGCTCTATTTCTTTCTTTTTTTTAAAGATTTTTTTATTTATGTATTTGAGAGAGAGAGTGAGCGAGAGAGTACAGGAACAGGGGCAGAGGCAGAGGGAGAAGTAGGCTTCCCGCCAAGCAGGGAGCCCGAAGCAGGGCTCGATCCCAGGACCCTGAGCCAAAGGCAGACGCTTAAAGACTGAGCCACCCAGGCGCCCCAGTGCTGTTCTATTTCTTGACAACAAACACATCCAAGATACATTAAGATAGTGGGTATAATGTGAAACCATCTTTATAAAATTATATTCCTGTGTGTGTGTGTGTGTGTGTAGGTGAAAGTGGACTTCAGCTGCCTCCATTCTGACTTCAAACTTTCCAGTGGGTTCTTCTTTCCAGCTGGTCCCTTGGCTTAGGCGGAAGACCCTGAGGACAAAGCATTCTCTGGTGGGAACCGAAACTCCCCCCTGGAGCATAAGGACTGCCTGGGCCAGCGAGACCCCTGCGTGATTGACTCCAAAACAGTGATCCATTTGACCTTTAGGTCCTGCAGGGACCCACCCTCCTTTGCCCCACATTTTCCTTCTATAAACCCAGAAGTATTCCAGCATTTCGTGGAGTCTTTGAGACACTAGCCCGCTGTCTTCCCAGCGTTGGCCTCACTGAAGTAAATTCTTCTTTCGTCGCCACTCATCTCTCTACCTTTGGATTTTGTCAGCGGCCAGTGGCTGAACCTGTTGTGTTTGGGACCCCTGGAACCAGGTGCTCATGCACTCCCTGTGACCCAGCTACGTTATGGGTAAGAGGCTTCTCTGAGGAGAAGAGCATTGGTGCAGAAGTTCACAAGATTCCCCAGTGACTGTGGACAGCCAAGGACCGGGGCTGACAGCGGACGCCTTGCGGAAAGAGCATGCAGCTATAATGTGTTGCTACCAGACTTTTTCCTTCCTTCTGTGGCGGAACATTATAACCTCTGCAGCTGAGGGTTCCCTTCGCAAGTGAAAGGGGCCTTGAGGAATGAGCGAGGGGCAGCGTTTGTCCCAAGAGAGCGGCGGCGGCAAATCATGTTGGGACAACTGAAAGAAACCACGACGCTGACAACTTTGGAAGTGTTCCGGACTCCACAGGAGCAGTCATGAGGATCTGCTCGACCAGACGTGCTAGGGCCAAGGAAAGGGAAAATAAACTCAATTCCGCACAGCTAAGGTATTTAACCGGGAGATGGGCATAGACACTGGGTAATCAAGGGGAGGGGCCGGCTTGGGGGAGTGAAGAGAGAGCTAAGGTGTGGGCCCTGAGGAGGGAGCCATGGTGAAGGGGGTGTAACTAAAACTACAGGGAAGACAAGGTCACCAGTTATTACCTGGGGCTTCAAAGACCCATCAAAGCTGAAATTGTTAGAGGACTTAGTGGGACAGGTAGGTCGTCAGAGCCGGGGTCCCCAACAAGAAAATAAGGAGTGAGGACAGCTAAAATAAAACTGCACTGACGTCCTGTTCTGCACTTAGGACCCCACCAGCACTCTGTTCTGCAGCCTTGGCAGAAAAGATTTCTGCAAAACATCCTTAAATAAGACAATTAACCACAAGGCTTGTGTCCCCACTAATGTGGGAAACGAAGGCAGAAGGAAACACAGATAAAATTAAATGTCCTTATCACCTGCAGCCCATTGACAAATACTTGAGGCAGGCAGAGTATCGTGTTCCTGCAGGAAGCTCCAGTCTTCATGTTAATGCTCTGCCAGAGGGAAAAGCAACCTTAGTTTGACAATAGCCAGGTCTCCAGTATCCTGTGAGTCTTCTCTAGCATATGAAAATCCTTTTGGAACTTTCCTTATCTTTACTTCCCCCAACCCCAAAGAACAGAATCAATTGCTACTCATTATCATACGGTTTCACTTATATGTGGAACATAAGGAATAGCATGGAGGACGTTAGGAGAAGGAAGGGAAAAATGAACGGGGGGAATCGGAGGGGGAGACGAACCATGAGAGACTATGGACTCTGAGAAACAAACTGAGGGTTTTAGAGGGGAGGGGGGTAGGGGGATGGGTTAGCCCGGTGATGGGTATTAAGGAGGGCATGTACTGGGTGTTATATGAAAACAATGAATTGTGGATCACTACATCAAAAACGAATGATGTATTGTATGGTGACTATCATAACATAGAAAAAAAAAAAAAAAGCCTAAAAAAAAAAAAATTCCCAGGGCAGCAACTCCTTCTACCCACGGGTCCTGTCACTGTGCTTTAATAAAACCATTTTGCACCAAAGGCGTCGCAAGAATTCTTTCTAGGTCATCACTCCGGACCACATCAGACCTCACCAAAAAATATTCAAAAACTACATCGCCTAGCACGGGCAAGGGGCAGTTAAGACACAAGTCCCCAGATGTCAGCAAAAAAAGACCATCAGCATGTAGACATGAATCTGATAGGTAGATGTGTGATCAAAGCCGTGGTTGGCACAACTGAGCACACCCTGGTTGCTTAAGAATGTTCCGCAGAGGGGCGCCTGGGTGGCTCAGTCGTTGGGCGTCTGCCTTCGGCTCAGGTCATGATCCCAGGGTCCTGGGATCAAGCCCCGCATCAGGCTCCCCACTCGGCGGGAAGCCTGCTTCTCCCTCTCCCACTCCCCCTGCTTGTGGTCCCTCTCTCGCTGTGTCTCTCTGTCAAATAAATAAATAAAATCTTAAAAAAAAAAAAAAAAGAATGTGCCGCAGAAGAGTGCATGAAAACCCCTAAACTTAGAAACTCCGAGGGCGGGCGCCTGGGTGGCTCAGTTGGTTAAGCAACTGCCTTCGGCTCGGGTCATGATCCTGCATCGGGCTCCCTGCTCAGCGAGGAGCCTGCTTCTCCCTCTGACCCTCCCCCCTCTCATGTAGTCTCTCTCATTCTCGCTCTCTCAAATAAATGAATAAATCTTTAAAAAAAAAAAAAAAAGAAACTCCGAGGGCAACCACTCGGGCCCCCTCCCTCTCTGGGAGCTTTGTACTATCGCTCAGTAAACAATGCTTTGCTGCCCACCACTCTTGCCTGGTCTACCCCTTCATTCTTGGAAGCGGCATGACCGAGAACCACGGGAAGGCAGACAATTCCAGCAACAAAATCGAGGTCTGAGAGGCTCCTCACCTGGGAGGAGAAGGAGAAGCTAAGGAGGGGTAGCAGGCAGCAGGGGAGCCCAGGAAATGGTGCGGGGGGTGGGGGGAAGGCTGGGTTAATACCAAGTTCAAATCAAAGGAGAGATCAGAACATTCAGGATGAAAGTGCGGGTGGCCTTTGATGGGTACCTGCAGGAGTCTGGTCCTTGCCCCAAATGGCAGAGGGGTGCTTCGTGGGGACCCAGGCAGGGTTGGGGGCATTTGTCCTGGAACAGACCGAGGAAGAAAGTCAGTGGCTGGAGAAGGAAGGTCAAGGAAAGGCTTGGGGTTTCTCCAGTTGTGTTTTGTTGTTTCTGCCGTTGCCCCCAAAGGCCCTCCAGCACATTTCCAGTCAAAGCCAGTGGGCACAACAGAACAGGAGAGAAAAGCAATCGGTAAAGGAGTTCCTTCTCGGAGGAGGTCCGGAGCTTCAGGACAAAGCTTGAACGCAGGGAACTCACTTTGAAAAAGAGGGATTTACAGCTGTTCCTTCAAAACACAGGAAGAAGAAAAGGTCGAGACAGGTGGGACCGCTGGGAAGGAGCCAGCGTGGCAATCGGAGACGGACGATCTTAGGGAACACGGAGGGTTGCGAGACACGGTGCACATGCGTGAGAGTTGAGCAGTAGAGAAGTTCCCTAATCTTCTGAAAGGAAACAGGAATAGTGAGGAACTCATTAAATCTTGAAGCTCTCACACTGCCGTCTCTGGGGCAGTTGGGTTCTTTCGGGAAATGGGGAAAGAACAGGGGACTAACCCAGCGGCCTGAGAAGGAAAACCAGCTGCTTTTTTTTTTTTTTAAAGATTTTATTTATTTATTTGAGAGAGAGAGAATGAGAGACAGAGAGCATGAGAGGGAGGAGGGTCAGAGGGAGAAGCAGACTCCCTGCCGAGCAGGGAGCCCGATGCGGGACTCGATCCAGGGACTCCAGGATCATGACCTGAGCCGAAGGCAGTCGCTTAACCAACTGAGCCACCCAGGCGCCCAAACCAGCTGCTTTTAAGTAGTGGCCACCTGGCATGATACCTGAATTTACCCTTGTGCCCGGCGTCCCTTGAACGCCCTATAAAACGTCAATGTTGATGATGCCGTGACTTTTACCATGCCGTGAGCCTCAGTTTCCCTGCCTGTAAAATACAAAGAGTGACAGCTACCATACCTCCATGGATGTTGGAATAGTTCTTTGAGATCCCCAGATAGAAGGAATCACGAAAACACAAGGTATTCTATGAGAATGCGCTATTTCACATACATATTTAATGTATGTTCCTTTAACAAAAACACCACCTCCAAAGCCTCTAGGAAACACGTGTCAATCAAAAATCTCAAAGGCCACCCAAGACTTCATCACCCGCAAAGAAGCTGACATATATAAGCAGTTTACAGTTTAGATTTCCTGCCCTCAAAACACACTGCCCACAGTTTGTATCAGAAATAGCTGCTTAAGGGCGCCTGGGTGGCTCAGTCAGTTGAGCATCTGCCTTCGGCTCAGGTCATGATCCCGGGGTCCTGGGATCGAGCCCCTGTTTGGTTGGAAGCCTGCTTCTCCCTCTGCCCCTCCCCCATTCATTCTCTCTCTCTCTCTCTCCTAAATAAATAAAATCTTTAAAAAAAAAAAAAAAAAGAAAGAACAGCTTAATTCTTGGTCAAACACCTGAAACAGTCTGTCCATGTACTGCAGGGTTATTCAGACCCACCTACACATATATTCTTAGAAATCACGTTATCTTAACACCAAGACATATTTATTGCTAAGTGGAAAAAGCCTAAGTGTGGCCAGTGTGCCCTACCTTTTGTGTGAAAAGGGAAAGAAGAAGCATAGCTCCAGTTGGCTTAGGGAGCTCTGAGATCAAACCCCAAACACTGGGTGGGGGGGGAGGTGCACAGGGAAGGCAGGACCAAGGATGAAAATGAGACTTGTTCCTGAACGTTTCTCTAGTTAGACTGTTAAACTAGTGAATGTATCACCTATTGAAACTTTTCCAAAACCATTTTAAAAATAAAACATTAATGGGACAGATCTGTATGTAACCACAAGAGCTCCAACACACACTGTTGAGCTCAGAACAGAATGTACACTATGACCCTAGTGTGCACAGAAAGTATATGGGGACGGCTGGGTTTGGGACAACAGGGGGTTGTAGTTTATATTTAGATTCTGTTGGAGTTTTTTATGTGTCTTTATTTATTTATTTATTTTTATTTTATTTTTATTTTTTAAAGATTTTATTT